TAGAGGTGGTAGTGAACGGAATTCAGCGTTCAGAACAGAAAACAGCGTCTAAGGTCCGAAATCAGTTCTCTTTTGCATTTAATTGCACTCATATGGCTTAAAATTGCTTGAATGTTTAAAATGACAGGACCTAAAACAAATGCAAATGATAAACTTTCACTCTATGATGGTTCAACTTAGCGATTCATCCGAAAGTCACATGCATACTGATCAACTACGATCCACTTGACATCGTGGATGTGTACATCGCAATATCAGTGCTAACTTTATTTATCGTGCAGCCCTAGCTATGATTGATTTTTATGTTGATTTATGTGTTTGGTTTGCCTTCAGGTACATCTACAGACTCTGTCCTTTTAATCGGGTTTCACAGAAACCCAAGTATGGAGGCTCAGAGACCAACCTTGGGTAAGCGACATTGAGGAGAAAAAACATTAAAAAAAGATGAGGTAGTTTTAGAAGGTTTTGGTTAGTATAAAAGAATGAAAAATGAATAGTTTAATAGCAAAGATGCATTAAATTGATCAAAAGTAACGGTAAAGATTTTTATGTTACAAAAGATTTCAAATAAATGCTGATCTTTTGAACTTTATGTTCATGAAAGAATCCTTTCAGAATAAAAAACCTGTTAGTTTCCACAAAAATATTAAGCAGTTTCAATATTGATTGTAATAAAAAATGTTTCTTGAGCAGCAAATTGGTATATTAAAATGATTTCTGAAAGGTCATGTGACTAAGTGAAGACTGGAGCTGATTATTCAACTTTGATCACAGGAATAAATTACTTTTTTAAATATATAATAAAATGGAAATTAAATGTTTTAAATTATAATAATATTTCACAATATTACTCTTTCTTTTTTACTGTATTTTTTGGTCAAACCAATGCGTCCTTGGTGAGACCTTTGAGAACATTCTTTCGAGAACATTAAACAGTCTTACACACCCCAAACACTTGAATGGCAGTAAATGTGCCATGTCGGTTATTGGTTTATATTAGCAACGTTTTCTTATTGTTATCGATGGATATTTGATATTCATGCTCTTTTTCTTTACCTTTGCCACTTTCTAACACTCATTTAAAATGAATCTAAATGTTAAATCACAATAATTTATTAACACTGTTAAATGTAATCCGTTAAATCTAGAAAATCCCATTTTTCATACTGTATATTATGCTGTGATGCATCAGTAGGCGCTTTAGCACCAGGTAGTTATAGGAAGTCAGTTCTTGGAAGTAGCCACCAGACGACAATATAGAGCTTTTAAAGAGATAGTTCACCCAAAAATGAAAATTCTGTCAGTGTTTACTCGCCCTCATGTTGTTCCAACCCTGTAAGACCTTCGTTCATCTTCGGAACATGAATTAAGATATTTGTGATGTTATCTGAGAGCTGGATCACTCCTCCATACTAGTCCATTGGCTTCTTGAGGGATTGAAACTTGCCGGCCTCAAAGTTATTAAACACATTGTTAAAATAGTCCAAGTGGCTCAATCTTAACTTTATCAAGCGATGAGAACACTTTTTGTGTGCAAAAACAAACATAAATAGCGACTTTATTTCAACTATTCATTTCCTTCTCTTTGAGCCTCTAGTCAGTTAAACTAGTGTAATTGCGAGATACGCCACACGTAGGCTCACTATTGGCCAACGCTGGTCATGTGTGTGATGCATGTGACGTACAACAACAGATCATACGCTGTTAAACTAGTAACCTGACTCGAGGGCTGATGAATAGTTGAAATAAAGTCGTTATTTTTGTTTGTTTTTGCGCAAAAAAAAACTATTCTTGTCGCTTGATAAAGTTAAGATTGAGCCACTGTAGTCACTTGGACTATTTTAACGATGTCTTTAATAACTTTTCGAGGCCGGCAAGTTTCAATCCCTCAAGAAGCCTATGGACTAGTATGCAGGAGTGATCCAGCTCTCAGATTTCGTCAAAAAATATTTTAATTCATGTTCCGAAGATAAACGAAGGTCTTACAGGGTTGGAATTAGAGCCAGACCGATAAAGGATTTTGAAGGCTGATACCGATACAAATATTTGTTGGTTTTAAAATCCAATATTCCGATATATCGGCCGATATTATTATTATTATTATTATTATTATTTCAGAAACGCACAACAAAAAATTTACGAATTTCCCTAACAAATAATATGATAATGCATTTTAAAAAGAAACTTGTTTCTATTGTCACAACAGAACAGAGGAACATCAAAATATATTAAAGTTCTGATAAATAAAATAATAATTAGCCCCTACTTTGCCTTATAGTTATAAGCTGCGTGATTCGTCCGTTTTTATTTTATTTTTGAAATATTCATTTATCGGCCATTATAACTGCAGATACCGATATTTTAGAAAATGCCTAATATCGGCCGATATATCGGTCTGGCTCTAGTTGGAACAACATGAGGGAGAGTAAATACTGACAGAATTTTCATTTTTGGGTGAACTATCCCTTTAATATTGCCCATTTTACTGGTGTAAGCTTTAATTTCAAATGTAACATCTTTACCAACCAGCTAAACACCTGATTGGTAAGGCTTGAAAACCAGCTTAAACACACCTGAGATTATGAGATGACCTTATAACAGTTTTTGCCACGTTATTTGTAGTCGCGTGACGTACGCGTTTTTGACCGTCTTTAATGAGCTCGTGTTTGCAGGTCATGGGGAAGCTGGTCAGGGCCTGAAAATAATAAGTACTTGGTGATGAAATACGAGCACGGCACTGGGTGCTGGCAAGGTCCAAACAGGTCAACTACAGTAAGTACTAGTCCTTTTATGTCTTCCACCGTGCCATTCATACTAGGAGTTATTCTGCTAAGTGTATCTTTGTGTGGTAGGTGAAGCTGACCTGTGGGAAGGAGACTGTGGTGACCTCGACGTCGGAGCCGAGTCGCTGTGAATATCTGATGGAGTTCACCACTCCTGCAGTGTGCCAGGAGCCGACCAACATTGACCTCTCGCCACATGGCCACGAGGAGCTCTAGACTCTACGCTCTGCTTGTTGAAACATGGTACTTATGCATACTTTTAGTTCAGCTGTTTAAAACACTATTAATGGGGGAAACCAAGGCCTGGTTTTTCAAGTTATTTACGTTTACATTTACTTTTATGCATTTGGCAAACACTTGTATCCAAAGCGACTTAACATTGCATTGCAAGCTACACATTTACATTCTCATCAGTTCTTGCTTTCCCTGGGAATCGAACCCATAACCTTGGTGTTGCAAGCGAAGCGCCAATGATCTATCTGAGCTACAGGAAAGCCATCATAGGTCATGGGGTCCAAGTTATCATAGGGTCCAAATTGTTTTGATGTATTTTTGAGGTCAGTGAGCTTTAAAAGATTCAGTTAGCCTTTGTTTGGACTGAGTGCAACATCTTGGAGTGAATGTATTATTTACAACAACTTATTTAATTCTGCTGACAATTCTGTATAAATTGAAATATTGCCTTGTCCCACTAAATTTTGCACCAACCCTGTGATCAACAACGTTGTTTAATATGAAAATCTCTAACTATCTGGAACAATCGTGGATGTATTATAACAAGATAATCTTGTTTTGTTCTTAAAAACGTGCATGTGACTTTCTCCAGAATACAATTATCCTAGCTTGCAAATGTCCTGACACCAGCTTTTCCATCCACAAAGTGCATTATCAATAATTTATGAGCACAAAGTGCAGTGAATTGTTTTTTATGTTCTTTTTAAAAAAAAACTTAAATGTTTGTGTGTCATCACAAATCAATATTAACTTTTATCTCTCTCTCTCTCTCCTGTTCTGTAGGTCATTGCTCTGTGGGACGTTCTGGGAACTATTGAAGCTTCATTTCCTGTTCAAGCTGTTTAAGAACCTCTTCCATTAGTTTTGGATCAGCTAAAAGAGGCTGGACGTTGGGAGAGCATTAAGTTTGGTAAACTAAACTGTAATGTTTTTTTGTTGTTGTTTGTAATGGATTAATATCTGATCTCTTCACATTCCATAGATAATGTTGAAATAAATTCCACTTCACATCTGAAAAATTGTTGTGACTTGTGACCAAATGACTCACTAAACACTATATTCTATGCAAAATGTACTCTACCGTGTAAGGTACGAAATTTTTTGTAGATTTTGAAGTGCCCATCATTCCACACACACATTTGTCTTTGAATTAGAGGCCCGTTCACACCAAGAGTGATAATTATATTGGCGTTCACTTTAGCAAACAATGTCGTTTTGTTTATTATAAGCGAGCTGTAATTTTGTCGCTTGCCGCTTTAAATACTACTAGGATGGAGTTTGTGATTGGCTGTCATTGTTTTTATCGTACACAACAGCTGGAAAAAATATGTATGAAAAAATATCGTTTCTCTGTGCCGTTATCATTATAGTTTAGGGCTGGGCAACGATTAATCGCGATTAATCGCATCCAAAATAAAAGTTTGTACATATATACATGTATATATTTAAGAAATATTTGCATGCATGTGCGTGTATTTATATATACACAAAATAATTATACACAGTACACACACATATATTATGTAAACACAAACTTTTATTTCTGATACGATTAATCGCGATTAATCGTTGCCCAGCCCGTTTTCTTTTGTATAACTAAATCTTTATCGTTATAGTTATCATCCTTGGTGTGATTGGGCCTTAAGTGCATCATCCAGGATTTTAATTAAAACATTTCTTGTTGAAATTGTCAGTGTGACTGAACAAACCACTCGCGCTACAAAATGGTATCGAATAGTACAAAAGTACTTGTTTTTACTGGAGGAAATGGATAACCAGTTGACTAACTGGGGTTAATGTTTCACACCCTTGACTGTGATCTTTACCATTATCTGTTGCTTATTGAACTCGTTAAATATCAAGCTGTTTATTAACTTTACAGACAATGTTAAAACTGGATAAAGACATTTCATTTTGTCTCGAATGACTGCAGCAGCTTGTTCAAAACCCCTCCGAAAAAGAAAAAGCACGCACAAAGAAAACAGAGATTCATATCGTTTATTTTTTCTGGCATGTAAAGTACAAATAATTAAACAATTCCATGAAAAAGTCCTCAAGCGTCTTCAGCTGAAATCCCAGTAATAAATATCCTAAACTAAACTGAAAGGTTTATTTTTTTTCCCCTTTGTTGTGTGTTTGTTCGTTTGTTCATGTTTTGGAAGTATGAGATTTTTATTCGTGACACACAGACACTGAGATCATTTTGATCGTTTTTTTTTTATTATTGTTGTTGTTTGTTTGTTTTATTCTGTTATTCCTGGAAAATGGTTTCAGAAGAACGTTGCTAAGTAACTCTGTGTCCCTCCTAAATTAACCGACACAAAATACAACTGGTTGAGAAACAGAGTGACCACTGACCCCTTTATCTAGCTCAGCGCCATCGCCCGTCCCATCTCCCCCGCTGCGCCCCCAACCCCCCCCCAAATGACTCAATTTATTTCCTAGAGCGCTCTCTTAGTCGCGGGTCTGTATGGCAGCGGGGTGAGGGGTGTTTGGCGAGGGACGCTGAGCCCAGGGCCTGGCTGCGGGACGAGAGCGTAGACCCGCCCCGGGCCCTGATTCGCTACGGGGTTCTGATAGTGGCTGGAAAAACAAGACTGTGATTAGATTAAATAATCAAAACGTTTTCATATAACAAGACAAACAAAACACAGGCATTAAAGGCATAACATCTAGCACACAGCATGTATGTTTATACACTTCAATTAGTTTAATATAGCAGTGCATTCTTTGCCTATGGAGAACTTTTCCCAAATTGTAATTCTAAAGCAGTTTTTTTTTCTTTTGTTTTTTTTTTTATTTTATTTTTTTAATCTATTTGTTCCCTTTAAAGAAAAACAAAAAAGGTGTAACCACATTTTGGCAAAATTAAAAGTATTTAAACTTGCAAATATAATGAAATAAACCATAAATATACACAAAACATACTTTCATACGAGGCAATAATAATAATCATAATAATAATGATAATAAATAGTTTTTAAGTTAACAATAAGTTAAAACTACAAGCTTAAAGTCGCCCAAATAATACAAGTTCATTGGCGCTATATTGATTTTTTTTTTTTCAGTTTAAATTATTTATGTTGCAACGAAAGCTACCACAGACTTTTACAAACACAATTAAACACATTTTGATTGAAAAGAAATAATTCTAACTAATTCTAAAACCTGCATACACTGTAAGAACGGCAACTAATTATAAATAATGGAAACAAATATAAGAAATCGTACCCAATAGAAGGAAACAAAACGAAATATTCGACCCACGTGTGTGTCTCTATGGCAACATCAACAACACAAATACGCTAAGTTAACGTGTGATTCTGATATGAAAAGGAAATCAATAAATTACAGGAAAAATGATATTCTGAAATCAACATGGGCTAAAACCGATGATATTTTAGACGGTATTCCTTTCACGGTCTTTTAGATTTTGCTCTTTTCGGTGCCATAGACGGCTGTTTGTTTTAGAGCACTAATAAGGGGGCGGAGGAAGGGATAATGGACATTTTTAGAGACCAGAGCTCTTGGTGCTTGTTTGATTCTTCTAATGAATCTGTTAGTTAACACTTTTTTTTCTCATTTTGTTGTTGTTCATTAGTACATTTGATCCTTTCACTATTCTGCAAACCATTTCAGTGTGTGACGTTTAATTTCTTTTTTAAAAAATATATATATCTTTTGTTCTCAGTCAATATAAAAACGAAGCACATTGCACTTACTGTTCCATAGGAAAGTTTTTTTGTCTTTTTTTTTTAAATGATTATTATTGAAGTTGCTCAAGCGGTGCAGTATGTTTGTTTCCTGCCATTGTCCTTGGCTCTCAGAGGGAATGGGGTAAGTGGTGTAGCTAAAGGGTTCGTTTGGGACACGACGCTAAAGACCCCCCTCTCCCCCCCATTTCGGACGCCAGGCACACTACTGGGTTGCCCTGGTCACTATCTACCCCGTTGCTCGTTTTAGAGGGTGGGTAAATCTTTACATTTCGGATTTTTGTCTCCTCTAGGGCACACCACCAGGATATGAGTTGCGTTAGCGAAAGAAAAATGTGTTGTTATGTGGCGTTGTAAGCTGAGAGGGGTTCAAGGTATATCACAGTTTTTATACAATGTGAATGGAAAGAGTTTAGAGACACTTTGATATGTTATAATATATGTGTGTGTGCGTGTGCGGTCACACTCTTGCTAAATGTTTCGGACTGACTTTGTTTTGTTTTTTTTCCCTTCATCAGTGACAGCTAAAATCCCTCGGTTGGTTAGTGCTTGTGCATAGGAGCAAAATCAGGTGTTGTTGATATGAAGGTGGAATAGAGAAGATATGTGTTGCAGAAATTAAATAAACAAGAAAAAAATGTAAACAGTAGCCTACAGTGATAGACATTTGCCTCGTGTGGTGACATACTGGCGAATATAATTCACTATGGATTATTGTGTGAGATTTGATTACATTGATAAGTGCAGCTACATTGTATTGTCAATTTCTTAACTTTTTTGGCGCACTGTAAATGCTGAAGCGTTTTTGTTTTTTTCGTCTTTTTGCCGATACGAGATGAAATGCTCTGGGTGTTCGTGGTTTTCGTTGTTGTGACGCCATTAGAGCTTCACTGCACCGTCATTGAAGCAACATTTTTCACTTTAGAGAAACCATAGCGTCATTTTTTCCTTACGTAATGCATACATTTGCCTGTCTGCTGAATCTTTTTTATTTTTGAATGTTTCGTATTTCTTTTTTTTCTTTTTTTCGTATTTTTGAAAATGAAATGGTTTCATTGCATGTAAGTCTTAGTCCCCAACCCTCTGATCCCCTCCCTTTACACCGCAGACTGGCCCTCTGTCCCCAAAGTTGAAAACTCTGAAAATAAAAGCCATGCGGTGTGTCCAAAGATTTCCACGATTTAAGAATCTGTAAAAATGTCGCACAAGGTCTTGTTTTTTTTTTTTCCGTAGATATAAAAATATATTAATCTCTAATGTAATCCTTTCAAAGAGATCATTGTCCTCTTTGGCTAACACAGCGTTATTTAGAAAAGCAAAATGTCACTTGATTTGAACACACATTTACATCTTTCAGTTCTTTTCTTCATATGATGTGAAGTTTTGCGATTTTTACAGCAATGTCTCTCCCCATGGAACGGTTTAGTTTGTTTTATCACTGGGCTGTAGACAGCTTGGGCATTGTCGTTGTTGTATCTAGGGAATATTTCGAGTATTTTGCAAAAAGATTCTCTTTTTGTTTTTAGCTCATGTGGCTGCGACTTGCTTAAAAGGGGCTTGAGGACACAAAATTTAGATTTTATGTTTGATATGTAGCTGTTTTAGATATGCTGGGGCTGCTAAAAAAACAGTTTTGCGAATAATAATGGGATTGATTTTAGTGAATAGAGCTAAATGTATCTGAGAGGTCATGAAGAGCAAGGGCGACCAATCCCAGTGGCCCCTGACCTCCATAACGGCTCACATGTACGTCTCAAAGAGCTGACGCAGGGCCTTTCCTACTCTCAAGCCATTCAAAGCTGTTTAAAATCATCTAATACAGTTCTGGATTTTGTGGATATGCCATCGCCATGGGAACACTGTCGGAATGCCCCTAGTTACACAGACAACTGCATGTGGTGGAATAGATTCTAAATTCTAACTATTAAACTCAGAGTGGAAAGATACAAGGAGATTCTAGGTCGCCACCTTTTGTGAAGTTTCGCTATGCCCTCCGGTGGAGGTCCGTGTGTGTGTGTGTGTGTTGGTGTGCGAGTGTCTCTGTGATGAAAGTTGTCTTTCGGCGTGCTGAGGTGATTGTGATGACCCCCGGATGACCTCTCGATTTGTGACTACCATCCACACAGTTTGTTCAGTTGCTGTTGGGTTTGAACCTCGAGTAAGACGTGTGTTTGGTGCCATAAGGCAAGGTTGCAACCTAATGTAGAGCCAGGAAACCGTATTCAAAGTTCTAGAAAATGCTTACATTTTTGGCTATATAACCACCTTAAATGTTGAATATATAGTTATATCATAATATATATGAGAACACTGTTTTTAATCATTTTTCTCTTTAAAAAAAATCACTGATTCAAAATGCCCAAGTGTAAAAAAAGTGACTACATCCTCTGAAGCCAGACAGGAGAGTTACCGGGGCAATGTTTTGGGTAAATTGCACATATTTGATTTTCTTTTTCTTTGACCAGTTCTTACTTTGCCTGAATTAAATTAAATCTCTGCAGACATTCTCTGTCACATTCATTAGACTGTCCCTCCTCATGGATTTCCCCAGCCTCGCTTCACACCTCTGCTAATTCAATACAGGCAAACATTGGGAAGGACTAGCATGTTGTGTTAAGAGAAAAGAAAAACAACTCTACTTGTGTATTTTTTGTTCGAAACAACTAAACGTGTGTGTGTGTGTGTGTGTGTTAGAGAGAGACTCAGTCCAGGCCCATGTAGAGTGAATGTACAGGGAGCTCAGTAGCTCCCCCTACATGTTAAAGAGCAGTAGTGACTAGGCCTTCCTTCAAGCCTTGTGCTGCTTGCTGGTCTTGAAGGAGACCTGCAGGACACGGTCGCCCAAGCGGTAGCCGTTCAGGCTGGCGATAGCCATGGCTGCCTCGTCGTAGTTGGTCATGGTGACAAAGCCAAAGCCCTTACATTTGTTGGTGGTGAAGTCACGGATGACCTTGACGTTTGTGACGGCGCCGAACGGCCCGAAGAGCTGCCACAGGACGCTTTCGTCAGCTTCCGGGGACAGGTTGTAGACGAAGATGCACCAGCCAGCTCCAGTGGGCCCGGTCAGGTTGACGCCGGCTAGACTGGTCATGCTGTCAATGGTTATTGGGGAGAATCTGGGGAGGAAAGAAGGAGAGCTACCATGGGTGTCATTCTGAAGTTCAGCACAGCGTGCTTCTCATTGCCACATGCTCCTGCCATTTTTGTCTCTTTTGAGAAGCGGACGCTCGGTCTCCACAGCCTACGTAAGAAAATGGCCGGCTAACGTATTATCTAGTCAAAACCAAAACTAGTCATGTTCCCTGTTAGAAATAGTACACAGAATTCACAATGTTCAACAAAATCACGATACTAAGCAAAACAGAAACCTAGAGAGGGATGAAGGCAAATCAGAAACAAATCAACAGAAAATTGGAACTAACAGAGGAGACGCAAACGGAACCTTGTATGTCCATGCTGGTGGAAAAAAGGAACATTAAAGCAACCAAAACTGAAAAAAAAAATAATGTTAGTTCAATACAGAAATACAGTTTGATCAAGGAATCAACCAAAAGAACAAAAAGGTTCAACAAAGCCATGCCAGAATGTCCTGCTGTGATATCAGCTAAGTCAGTCTAGTCTACTTGAAATGGTGTTTTCTCAAATCAATCTCTAACGTTATTCCTTAAGTCAGCAGGTGGTATTCCGGGCACTTTGTTTGAGCTTGTTCAGATGCTTTTGAAAGGACACCTTTTTTTTTTTTTTTTTTTTTTAAATTACCTCTTGACTCCGTAGCTGGCGTTTAGTAAATTGTCGAGTCTGCAATGCAAGAGGGAGAGTGACGGAGGTGAAGATATTAGTGGCAGAAGATCCAACAACCAGAGCAAAGCTTTTTTCATGGAGCCACTTCAGCCACCAGGGGGAGCTCTTTACCGGGCACCGCATCCACCAATCGGCAGGCGCGGCTCGCCCATCGCACTGACGCAGTGCTTACAGAGCCCTCAGGCGATGGATCGAGAGTACTGCGCGCATGTTTGTGCTTCTGTGACTGATTCACGCACCCTGTGTTTTTTTAAAAAAACGTACACACTACCTCAATTGTGATTTGTCAATCCCCCTGATGGCGTGAACGTGCTGCGGTTTAAAGGAAAACCGTCAGAGGGAGAGTAGGCAGCGGTAGGGGTGTGGGCTGAAGGTGGAGGCAGTACCTGAAGCGTTGAGTCTGGTGGTGCAGAGGGCCGGTGTAGCGGCGAGCAGCTGTCTGGTAAAGCTGGGTGAGCAGGGCCTGTCCCGTCTTCTGACTGGGGTTGTTGGCGAACTTCACGGTGATGGGCTCGGCGGCACCCAGCGGCTTTTGACCGTTCAGGCCTTTGATGGCCTCCTCTGCCTCGTTTCGTTTATCGAACCGAATGAAACCTACTCCGCGCGATATACCTGCTCCGGACAGAAAGCGACGTAATGTAAGTACCATGAATTTAAAGAAAATGGCAGATAAGTGAGTCATGTGGACAACCAGACTTTATACTATAGTGCTTTATGATCTACTCTCAGTATATAGTTATAGAGAAAACATTTGGGCTGGACTTCCTTTAGGAATTTGACTTTTGGTTAACACAAAATGTATTCAAACAATCTAGCCATTTAAAAAAAAATTAGATTTTAAACCCTGAAGACGAAATTTGCAGAAAAAAACGTACGCTAAAATTGTCTTAAATGATACTCAACGCACATACCGGTATTATCCTGTTATCCGGACCCCACCATATACCATTTCGGAACTATAGTCATCCCTGATTGGTCTTAACCCCAGTGATGGGTAGGTTTAGGGGCGGGGTTAGGGGTAGGCCATCGTCCCTGATTGGTCTTAACCCCAGTGACGGGTAGGTTTAGGGGCGGGGTTAGGGGTAGGCTATCGTCCCTGATTGGTCTTAACCCCAGTGATGGGTAGGTTTAGGGGCGGGGTTAGGGGTAGGCCATCGTCCCTGATTGGTCTTAACCCCAGTGACGGGTAGGTTTAGGGGCGGGGTTAGGGGTAGGCCATCGTCCCTGATTGGTCTTAACCACAGTGACGGGTAGGTTTAGGGGCGGGGTTAGGGGTAGGCCATCGTCCCTGATTGGTCTTAACCCCAGTGACGGGTAGGTTTAGGGCGGGGTTAGGGGTAGGCCATCGTCCCTGATTGGTCTTAACCACAGTGACGGGTAGGTTTAGGGGCGGGTTAGGGGTAGGCCATCGTCCCTGATTGGTCTTAACCCCAGTGACGGGTAGGTTTAGGGGCGGGGTTAGGGGTAGGCCATCGTCCCTGATTGGTCTTAACCCAGTGACGGGTAGGTTTAGGGGCGGGTTAGGGGTAGGCCATCGTCCCTGATTGGTCTTAACCCAGTGACGGGTAGGTTTAGGGGCGGGGTTAGGGGTAGGCCATCGTCCCTGATTGGTCTTAACCCCAGTGACGGGTAGGTTTAGTGGCGGGGTTAGGGGTTTGGCCATCGTTCCTGATTGGTCTTAACCCCAGTGACGGGTAGGTTTAGGGGCGGGGTTAGGGGTAGGTCATCATGGGGTTCGGATAACAGGAAAGTACCCACATACCTCTGTTAAAATCTCAGAAAAATTAGTTTAGGGTTTCATGGCCCTTTAAAGAGTAAGAAATATGGGCGGGACTTTCATTGGGAATTTGGCATTTGATAAACATTCATTCAAACTATATATCACTCTAAAAAATTATTTGTTGTCTGAACAACCATTACTTATAAAAGTAAATAGATTAAACGCAAACACTGTAAAAAAACATTGTTAGTTTAACTTAAAAAAAATTGTAACCTGGTTGTTGGAAAAATTGAGTTAATTCAATGAAGCAGATTAATTTAATCACCAGAAACTCAAAATATTAGGTTATCTGAACTACATAAGTTGATTTGACAAAAGAAAAAATGTTGTGATTACAAATCATGACAATATTTTTTTACAGTGTAACTTTTCGAATATTTGAGTTCACGCAAAATTCTTTACTTACAAATATATGTAATGTGATGCATTTATTTTTAAGTAAAGAATGTTGCGTGAACTCAAATATTTAAGTACATATAACAAAGGTTTTCTTGGTAATTTTAAGTAAAATTATTCCAAAAATGGTACATCTAACACATCATTTTTTAGAGTGTAGCCATTAAAAAAAGAGAAATGACTACAACTTAAAAAAAAACGAATTCAAAAACGATTAAAAACTACAATGCTATTTCAATGATACTAAATGAACACTGCCAAGAACGTGCATTAAAAATGTAAATAGGGTCAGTTTTGAGTTCATGTTGACTGTAAAGCATATAGCCTACCCAATTGTTTTTCTTTTTTTTTTTTTTTCGTGTCACATCCAGAGCTTTAATTAGATTTGCAATCCTCCCCCAGGGTGCGTATGCACGCTGTTTGTGGAAGTGAGGTAACGTTTACCTGTGACCTGGTCTACCAGGATGCGTGAAGTGATGATCCTTCCATACTGGGAAAACAACTGCTCCATGTCTTTCTGACTCATGGTTTTGGGCAGACCGCTCACATACAGGTTGGCATCACGTATGGAAGCTGAGCTGGGTCTGGCGTAGGACACCTACACGAAAGAAAATTGGAGCTGCAGTTTAGGATTTGTAATATTATTAAGAAGCATGCATCAAGACAGCTGTGACAGTCCTAAAACTCCCAGCAGTGCAAAACTTTCAAGTGTAGTCGAGGCGGATATGTCACAGCAGTGCCACGCTCAAAGGCGAGACATCCGCCCACTCTCTCTTATCCCTCCTTCCTTCAAATCCACGTCTCTTATATGCGCACTTCACTCGAACCAAACCCGGTTCCCTTATTAAACACTACTTCAGCTTCACAGTGCTCCTGACAGCAGAAACACGAACCCACTCTGACATTCACACTCCCCCACCCCCCAAGACACTTCGACACCCTCTGAGCTGATTTGAGACCAGCTCCCTCAGGGAGTCGTGAGGAAAATTTGATATCATGGGCTGTTTTTCTAGCCGGTGATTTTCCACAAGACAGCAGCATTTGGAACCTGTTCCGCTTTGGGATGTGTCATGTAATATAAAGTCCAATTAGGCATTTGTTTTGACGTTCAAATATTCATCTCATTTTTACATTCCCCTCTATATTTCCTAAAAATCCCCCACTGAGCCGTCTTAGTCGTATTTGAGATGCGAACAGATTTTTCCTCATAAAATATGTATATTTATGAGTTTCTGGTGGAAAGGGGCTGACTTTGATTGATGGTGTCAGTGTGTGCGCATGTGTTTTTTTGAGATAAAGAGATTGGCCCCCTCCTTCTTCTCCATCTCTCCTTTGTCTCCTCTCTCAAGGGGAAACTGCTCCTCTGGCAACCGGCAAACCAAGTAAACAGATTACAAGATGTCCAGCGTCCCTGACAACTCCCGAACACGCCCTCACTAAATACCCATTAAGAAAAAATTAAATCAAATAAAAAGCTCAAAACCAATTCATGCTAATGGAAAAGCACCATCCTCACTTTCCAAAAACTCTCGATGTTTTTATTCAACAGTATATTACACATACAATTTATACTTCTCATTTATATGAGGACATGTCACTTTATACAAAAACTGCACTGCCTTTACTCTATTTAAAAAAAAAAATCACAACATTTTTTTCTTTTGTCAAATCAACTTAATTTATATAGTTCATATAACATAATATTTTGAGTTTCTGATGATTAAATCAATCTCCTTCATTGTATTAACTCGATTTTTAGGTTACTTAATTTTTTTAAGTTAAACCAACAATATTTTTTAAAGTGTATATTATCATCTCTTTTTACTTATACTTTTTTATTATTTTTCCAAAAATATATGTCGTAGTCTTATAGTCTTTGTTCCAATGGTCCTTTTGATATAAATAAATTTAACGTAACATAATGTAATTTAATATAACATATTTGCGTTCTACTTTTTTAATCTGATTTTCTTTTTACTGCCTCGACCCCCTCCCTCCCCACACACTTATTTACTAATATTTAACTTAATGATTAAATTATATACAATATAATCTAAATGTAATTTTAAAAAGTTTCTTATTTTTTCTTAACATTTATATTGCCTTAAAGCTTTATAAAGCGTAACCCTTTATAATCCTGTTTCCAGTGCTCTTTTTACCCAGAACATTTAATTTCACAGATTTTACCATGTTGACTTTTTATGTGTGCAATTACAGCCAAAAAAAGTGAAGCGAGTAAACTTGTTTTTATAATAAATAGGAGTCTATTTTAAACGTGTTCAAGACATTTTCCAACATTGCATGCTTCGCAATCAGACCTTGGCAGAACGATGTGTTTTTCCAGCATGGCATATGCGTGTTTGAGTCTTGCAGGCCAGTATGACTAAGCAGCGGTATTGTTGAGGTAGGGGTGTAATTGTGCAGTGAGTGGGTGAGTATACAGCAGAGACTGGAGGGGGTCGATCTATTGGAGGGATGGGATGCTGCCCCATAATTAACCCTCTCTCTCTCTCCCACAGTACAGATGGTGCCTGCAGCCCATATGGCTCCTAATCCTGTCATTGGCATTCGGCTCCCTCCTAGCCTTTGCCACTGCGCCCCGTCACCCTCCCTCCCATCCCCGCTATCGTCTCTACCTTTCTAACAATGCCGTATTGACATGGAAAATATGACATTTGCCCAGCTTACGGATTTGAGGGCAGTGGGCGCACGAACGTTGAATGTCAGAGAACGATGCCGGATGAATGCACTGAACAAACAAGACAATTAGGACCATAGCAATCGGTTTAAATAACTACGCCAATAATGTTCGCCCATGGCCTTGTGGAATAACAGTGTGTAATTAGACTATGGATTATAAGGAATGAAATTGCTCTGTATGCATACACTCTGCATTCATATTGGAGATGCACTGCGAATGCATTCAAGCACACGCTAAGTCCGCAGAAGCTGCTTAACTGCGGATTTGTTGCGATCTTTGATGTGTGGTGATCAGGTGGAGAAGCGGACCGACTGTTTTATCTCTCACTTTCAGAAGCCCAAGCAGACCTTTCCCCACCCCAAAACCCAGCTGAATTGGGGACAAAGAAGGCCCTAATTAGCCAAGATTGGAGGCAGATGGGGCTCTCCTTGCTGACCTCCAAGCCTCAGATTGCGTCTCCCTAATTACATTTCCATCACAATCACCTCTGCACACAACCCTTTGCTTTCTGACCTCCACTTTCTCTTTTCTTCTGCTCCTTTTGTCCCCTCCCACCGCCCCTCCCTTTCACCTCCCCTCCTGCTGTCACGTCTGTCTTGGGCTCTGCTTCATTCCCTACTTCCTCCCCATCGAGCGATTCGAGGAGCTTGGGCTCTCGGTTGAGGACGGGTGCACTTACTTTGATTGTTTTGGTCTGCAGTTTGAGACCGTTGAGCGTGTTGATGGCCTTGTCGGCATCGTTGGGATCCACGTAGTTTACGAAGCCGTAACCCAAACTCTGGCCTGCGATAAGACAAACAGGAATGCACTTGAAACCCACCCTTTAAAGGGATACTCCACTTTTTTTTTGGAAATCGCCTCATTTTACCACTCCCTCAGAGTTAAACAGTTGAGTTACCGTTTTCAAATCCATTCAGCCGATTTTCTGACATTTAGAAGAATATCAGTAACCAAACAGGAAAAAATATATACTATGGAAGTCAATGAGACCAGAAACTGTCTGGTTACTGATATTCTTCTAAATATCAAAAAATCGTCTGAATGGATTCGAAAACAGTAAAACCCAATCGTTTAACTCCGGGGGAGTGGTAAAATGAGCCGATTTCCAAAAAAAAGTGGAGTATCCCTTTAATGCAAAACATTAACCGAATCAAGATATGCCGCATTGTTACCTGTGATCTTGTCTCTGACTAGTTTGCAGGACTCGATTTCTCCGATACTGCCGAACAGGCTCTTGAACTCCTCCTGGGTCATGTTCTGAGGCAGGTAGTTGACAATCAGGTTGGTTTTGCTGTCGTCCGCAGCACCGTTAGTGCTAATGACGGGGCCGTTTGGCAGGCTGTTTCCGCTCGGACCATTGGACACCTGAGTTTCCATGGTGCTAATTATCTGCAGGTGGAAAAAATGATAAATTAAGACCACGCAGTTTGGGTGAAAACGCATAATTTGAGGGGCGTCCTCGTTGAGAGGTTACAAATCAATGGTCTGAGGGGTAGAACAATATCCCACCTCCCCTCCTCCTATGACCTCTTCCCTCTCTTCATCTCTCCATCAGCCCCTGGCCCTGCAGATGTCACAGTCCTTTCGCTCTTTCCCAGCCCCCCTTTTATGCTATCCAGGGTCAAACAGCGTTACGTCACTAAGAGGATGACGGCGTGGGCATGAGGATGGTTGTCATTTCAACTTTGCTAACAGAATTTTTCTTATTTCTTAAAAAAAAAATGGTAGTCTAGACAAATAAAGATGAGATGGCGGCGTTTGCACCTTGTTTATGTGAAAAGCGTGAGCGTGTGTGTGCGTGTCTGGGTCTTCGGTTCATCTGTGTTGCTGTGGACCACGTGATGTTTAATTTGCCCTATAGGGGATTTTCAACGAACAGATGTGTGCAGGTTGTAGACGCTATACTTGTGTCTTTAACGGTCCCTTTCTGTCACAACTCACGACTGGAATGCTCCTCAACGTACCCCAACACTCTAAAAAATGCTTGGTTTTAACCCAATTTTAGGTCAAATATGGACAAACTCAAACATTGGGTTAAAAATGTCATTTGCAAATGTAACCAAATGACCATATTTGACCCAAAATTGGGTTAAAACAACACAGGATTCTGTCCTCCTTTCTTTCTTTTGTGACTTTTTATGTTGATTTTTTTAAAAACATTTCCCCCAAGGCTGGTACTCTCTAGTCTAGAATTTACAAATTGGCATGTGTAATATATGTTCATATATTAGTCATCGTAAGTTGACTGAAAGCACTCTTCCCTCGGAACGGCCCCTGGGGTGGAACAGGGTGTCTTAATTAACAATGCATCCGTGAATTTTTTTTTTTGGATCCCCACAATCAACAGGCACAATCATATGCCACAAGTGTCCCTCTATGTTTTTACACTCTCAGGGGGTAAAAAAAAGGTTTTATGTAACTTTTAGGTACCAATATGCACCCTTTATGTTCCTTTTGATGGTACCAGCCCAGTGACAGCTTTTTGTACCTTTTTTTTCTGAGAGTGTACGATGCAAATAATCAATTACAGGAATGTAATTGTAAATAAATGAAATGATAATGATATCCAATTAAGCATAAACGATCAGATGCGCAAACAGGTGAATTCCTAATAGTGTGGGTAGTCTGTTCTTTTGTTCTCCCTTCAGTCTCTTCAGTGGAATGATTTATTCTTGCCTTGAGCCTTACCTCTAACCAGGTTGCCCAGGTAACAGCAGCTTGACGACTGTTGCTATTGGCTGGCTTCTTGACTTTTAGCAAACCTCACACATATGTGTGCATGCCGTATATGTGCACTCGGAGTTCGAGAACTGGTGCTCAGTTAAAATCACTTTTTGTCTCGCATTAATAAAATAAGCTTTCGGGGGCCGCCAGAATTTATATCTCAGGCAAATTGACACTGACAAGGAGAAACCTCAGGGAGGCGAGTTATTAAAGCGCTGCAAACATGAATCTAGGCAAAACTGACAATTTCACTGCCACCCGAGCAGGAATTTCCGAGGAAAGGTTGTTCGTTTGATCAATCAAATAGCGATGCAAATGGCATCTTTTGTGGCAGTAGCCCATAGCCTGTATAGTTCAGAATGTAAACCTACTCAAACAGGCGCTGTCTAAGCATTGACACAAACAGAGCGAGTCTTGACACAATGTGACAGGATCAGGGCAAATGTGATTCGTGAACTGAAGTAAACCTCCCTATGGCAAGCAGCGACGAATGTAGTGAGTTACACAACGCACAGGCTCTTTGGCCACACAGACTGACACGTACACTGTCTTACAGCCTAGATACTAGCAGAGGTAGAGGTGGATGAGCGCTTCATCCCAAAATACACGACTCGCAGAGACAGGCGAGAGACTCCTTCCACTGTGCTCCTTTGGCATCACACACCTTATCAACTGTGCCTGAGTTTTATACGTTATTAAAAATAGGCCTTACGAAACAAACGTGGCTACGGAAGCAGGCTTAGACGTTCCTGTCCCAGCCTGCACTTTTCTATTTCTGGTAGAGTTCTCCCTCAATATTTAATGCACTGCATCAGCATCGCCTACACAAGGACCCAGACTCACACGCAAACAGAGCCCTGCATCTCCTATACGCAAAACCTATTACCTTCCCACCAGCGCACTGATCAGGATAAATGACTGCTGAGATTCCTCTTAGTGAGTCTGTAATTAGAGTCTGCTGAAATGACCGTCAAATCTTGACAGTCAGACATTCATTCGATTTTTCCCTGAAAAAATGTCCTGTTGAATGTCACTTGGTTTAACTGCAGCCAATTATAAGTTAAAACACATTTCCATTATCTACAGTCATGAACGCATCATGCCAGAGAACGCTATTTACAAACAGGCCTGAAAGCAGCATGAGATAAAGAGCAATCTGACTGTGAAGACGATCGGCTCACGTCACTTCCTTAATGTCCCTGTGCAGTGAGTGAGGAAGCCATTTTCTTAAAATAAACACAGTCTTCCACAAGATCCGGTGAGGTAAACAAATAAAGCACAGGGCTGATCTAATCTGTAGCTGTATGTATCATGTCAACGTTAATTTATCAGACTGCCAGGGTCAGCCAGCGATTCTCCCAGTCCCAGCATTGTCTGTTAACGTTAGGCTGTGGAAATTGAATCCGTACTATTCGTGACATTTCGGATGCCTAATGCAGACCTTAATTTTGATCATTTGTATTTCATAAGCGTACGTGTCTGGACGAGCCTCCTGACTGAAATGTGAACGCTGGATTGCCAATAGGCTGTTTCAGTAACAGATTACAGGATTATTTTAAACAAAAGGCATTAGCCACACTCTCACTGCAGCTTAAGGGATCACAGTGGCAGCTGTAAAACAACAGGACACAAGTCAAAACTGAACGGATAAACCATTATCTTTTTTTTTTTTTTTTACCTTTGAATTGGGTTAATTTCGCTCGTGAAATTTGCTGCGCAAAAGATCATCGACTTATCGCGCGAATGCACTATTATTTCCCATTTTCCCTAATAGCGTTTTTTTTTTCTAATTTATTTACTGTTTTAAATTATTAGTAGCTAATTAGAAAACGTTTAACAGAGGGAAAGGCGCTAGCAGTGTTCCCGCTACTCTTTGGTCGCTATCCAGAGTGCTGAATTCGGGAGTGGCTCGCCATGCACAACAACCTTCAAAATATCCTTGGTGCCGCGGACTTCATTTTATCAAGTGGACATTAAGCTCTTGATGTCGTCTTTATAAATAAACACCTCTGCGAATCGTTTAAAATCGTTATCCCCTCGTCCTTTGATTGGACAAGTGCGCGTGTGCTCTGTGGGCATTCACAAATCCGAGCTCCTTTTTGCTGAATAAACGTATTGACACAAGCGAACAAAAGAGCCACCCGTTCCTCCTCTACAGAGACCATGGCAGCACTATGAATATTAATGTAAACAGTAGCGCTTTGTGTCGAGGCCAGAGGCTGCGGGACTCTCCGGGAACAATGAACATTGCAACTGCCTTCACTTTAACTTATTCTACAAGACAATTTATTAATAATAATAATAATAATAATAATAATAATAATAATACAGCAAACATAATAAAATATAGCTCATTTAAACAACAATAATGTCATTAAATGCCTATAAGAGTATTTCATTAATAATAATAATTGTAACTTTAATGGCCTGGTCGTAATATTTAGAAGTTAATATCATTATTTTGCTTATAAAACCAGTGTATACTGTATAATGAGGGTCTCAATTCACAATAGACGAGGCCTGTGATCCTATAACGTGCGTAACGCCCTGACAGTTTAAATACTGTCCAGCATAACGGTTTTTTTTTTTAAACGCCGTCTTTTTCTTTGATTGACAACCCTCTTTATTAACGTTTAGTGAGGAGCTCGTACGTGTAAACCGTTGTGTTGTGTTGTGTATCGTTGTGATTGTCCTTGTCCTTGAATTGTGTACGCGCCTGGAGAAGGTTATCTGACTCAACGGTTTTATGTGCTTGGCACTGCGGTAGAGGCTCGTGCTCACGGAGGACTGCGGAACAACAAGCCGAAGGGCCCGTCGTTCATTCATCACACCATCTATTGAGAATTTAAATGAAAACGAAGCGCGTCGTTTCGTATCGCCTTTTGTTCGAGGTCACTATAAAACAAGGCAGGCTGTCCTTCACAGCAGACAATTTGCCAGGAACAGAGGCCTCAAACGCAAAATGACAGGTGGTTTGTGTGGTTTTTAATAGTATTAAATAATAATTACAAATTGAGTCTTCATCATAACGAATCTAGCGGTTAGTCACGTCTTCTGGCAAGACACAAAGACCTGACAATACGCTTCATGTAGAGCAGGCCTGAAGAGTTAAACGTCATAAATTAATCCTAACATTTTAATCGCTCATTCATGGATGCGTTTCAAACACCTGTTCGTATTTACATGAGCTGTTGTTATTGTTTTCCCAGAAAATCTACGTGAAGATGGTGACTCTGAGCTCGTGCCATCGCTGTCTTCTTTTCGAGAAGACACGCCCAAAACGCTTTCCCCAAGGCCTTTGTATTCCCCTCATATTGCTTATTTACATTCTCAGTGTCGTTATATTTGTGTGGAGAAAAGGACGGAAAAGCAACTCGAGAAGAAATCGCAAGAAATCGATGACATTTGGCCGTTTCCTCTCTCGCGATCTCTTATGTAGCATCGCATCGCCTTAGGAATTTTGTCCTGCCCGATTCAATCCAAACCAGTGGATGCATAATATCTCCCCTCCCCCTCTGAGTGACTCGACCCTTTTCTTTGCCTTTGCTCTCGATGGGCTCTCAGCCTCCGAGGCATCGTGTTTTGTCTCAGAGATTCAGTCTCGAGCATCCTTTCTGAACGAGCTCAACTGCCCTCTTACGCCCTTCTGCCTCCGCCGCACCTCAGCTATTTCGGAGGAATTCCTCAGCGCTCTATGTTAATAATGGCTAATTATCGCTTGAATGCGTTTAATTAACGGATGTGGAAATAAATGGGGTTCGCGTATTACGCATTACGATTCAAGTCGAACGGCTGGAGAAAGCAATGTTTTGATTCCCCTCAGAAAACGAAGCGAGCTCGGCTGTAGCGATGCTCGCGCATGCCTGTATCACATTACTTAAACCCTGGGCTAATCGTTAATCTTATTTACGGAATACGCGATTAGATGTGTGCTAGTATCCTATGTTTGCGTTTTTGACCAAATGCCGTGTATAGCCTATTATTTGATTCGCGTGTATTTAAACAGCCTATATTTTAATGTCTAATTAGCCTATATTTTTGCTTTCTCAGTTTGAATGTCTTGCACAGATATTAGTAGCTACATGCTGTGAGGCTGTTCAAGTGGATTTTCTGGTGGTGCTGTTATTGTTTTGCAATGAGACAGACCAAAAAAAAAGAGAGAAGGTAGGCTATACGTACAGTAACCATTCTTGATGTACAAAGATGATAGTGATCTAGGTCCTTCGATTTGCAGGTCTTCAGGCCGACTCGCAGAGATATCACGCCGTGGTGTGGCTCGAGAAATGCAGATGTCGGTTTTCCAAACGAAAAGAAAAAAAAAAGAAAAAGGAAAAACGACAGTCTTCGCCCAGGAAATCTCAGCCCGTGCGATTGTAGGTTTCCTCAGTAGTGTGAAAATGAGGAGAAGGGGGTTTTCTTCAGGATGATGATGAGAGAGAGATTTCTCTCCGTGTGGCGTGGGCGATGGTTCAGAAAAAAAAAAGAGAAGCAGTGATCCCCAGTAGGGTGTGTCCAGGGGAGGGTGTTGTGGATCTGCTGTTGTGTGTGTATTTCCCAGCTCCTCGCAGGCTCCTTCTGTGCCTCTGCTGCAATGTTCTTCTTTTATGTGTCCTTCTGGCTGGCAGAGCTTGCTGCTGATTGGCTAATTGCGCAGGGAGGGTACTACATGGCAGCCATTGCAATGCGCTCCTCTCCCATTATCCCCTTCAGGAGAGATCACCGCGAGAGCCCCCCGTCCCTCCACCCCCACCACCATCTCTCTCCACTCTTTCCTCTTGCCCTCCCTTTCTTCCTGCCCCCCAACACGCATGCAGAGCCGAGTGAATAGAGCTCCACCTGCACTCCGAACAGATGGGTGCAGAAAAAGGCAGGAGCCATGCTTTCTCCTTCTCTTAGCCCCTCTCTCTCTCTCTCTCTTCCCCTTACTCATGCCTCAGTTTTTTTTTTCCCCTTTCTTGATTTCACATTATTTGTCCTTGTAGCGCAGCCCTTCTTCACAGATTCCATCCTGTAGTCTGGCGCGCCGCATTTTCTAAGAAAGCCGAGTAAATGGCGCGAGCCGTTCGTTCAAAAACGAGAATGCAGGACGGCCTTGTGAAGGTCATTTCTGGACATTACACGGCCCACTGTTTAAATACCTTATTTAACCATTTATATACTAGCATGGCAGGTGCGTGTTGAATGCGTAGATTACATAATGAGTGTCATATAGATGTCACACATTGTTGTATAGCTAATCGCATGCAAAAACAATGAAATCAGAGATTTGAGAATGAATCCACACGTCTCCATGTTGTCCCTCGTTGGTGGTGATATTAAACATCGACACACTGATTGCAGCAGTTGTTATCTCAAGCCTCCCCCCCACCCATATCCAGTCTAGGGAGTGGGTAGAGCTCACTGAGACAGGCTGTTTGGTCTCATCTATAATGCATCTCCTGCCCCAGGACTTGATGTGTGACAAATGACCTATTTCTGCACAGACCCCCACAGGGCATTGACCTGAGGAGGCAAGCTCGGCATATCTCTTGCTATGCGGTGCGAGTCTCCGCTGTGTCTGTATGGGTGAAGTTGGAGGAGATGGTTGCAGAGCATGTAGGCTTATGGAAATATACACTTCGCTGATGAGGTGTGAGGGGGTTGTCATTCCCACTAGAGGATGGTGTTTATTTTGGTCTGTTTATATGCGCGCCGGAGACCACGGGTCGCTGGAACTCACCTACATCTGCGTCGGCCCTGGATGACCTTGTGGAAGCGGTTGTGTGAGTCTTCGGCTGGAGTTCTCTGTATTTATGCAGATTGTAGACAGTCGCAGCGCAGGTACCGGGAGTCAGAGAGGTACCGAGTGGGTGGTATTGTCGTTGGCGGGCAAATCCGCTGTAATGCGGATCAGAAAAACAGCATTTTTTCATTGTGTCTACTGTGAGTAATATACACAATTATATATATTTTGGCTGATGAGTTCTTAGGAAATCATCTGAGTGGGCAGACGCGCTCAAACTCGTTAACCTTTCGATAATCTCGCGGGGCGCCGAGCGCTGTGCATTCCTGGGTTAGGGGTTAACAGTCGAGGCCAAGTAATCTTGACTCGATCGGGGCGCTCCGACATGGATTGCTGCCTTTCGTCCTCCTCTCTCATGCTCCCTTTCACTTTCGGTTCTTGTCCCGCATCTCTACCCCAGTCAGATTCTGAGTGTGGGCCCTGTCTGATATTTTACATAATTGCCTTACATAAGTAGCCAGCTCAGCTCAGAGCTTGGATGATATTAGTGGCGATGAATATTGCATGAGGAAGGCACTCGTTAAGCGTTAATAAGAGGATCGAGATGGGCCCCGCTGTCAGTCTGTCTTAACCCCGCCCACTCTCCTCTGTCAAGTCGCGACTTTCCTCAGAGTGGCGGCCGAGTGAGAGGGAAAGATTGCGCCATTAGGTGCGGGTGTTGTTTTCTGCTTTGTGAGCTGAATAAAGGCGGCACTTGTGGCACAAAGAGTACGGTTCTGCACACGCCCCGTTCACACTTAACGTGAATAAACCCGCTTAATTGCAGAAGCTCATTAGGGGTCTTTGCTGGCAGTGGGGCGACTGAATCCAGCCCGTGGGTAAGAGGGCATCTGAAGCACCTATTCACAACCCTGATTCAGAGGATCAAGCATGGCAGTTGGCTCTTTCAGTAATTTCACTGATGATTTTTAATGTTCAGGAGCCCCATCCAGAAGAGCCGATTAAGAGACTGGTGCTTTTGTCCGTCTCTTTTGCTCTTTCAAATATCATTGATTTCCGTCGGTTTTAATGGCCATCCAAATGTGGTTGTTGGTGAGATCACTGGCGGAGGACACAAGGAACACTGTACACTTGTTTTTTCGCATTCGCAAATAGTGGATTTACATTCATGGGAAGAAAGCATGTTATGATCGCGCTGAATCTGCTTAGCACCAGCGCAGGAGATATGATTGTGTGAAACAGATGTGTTCCATTGCTACAGCTAGTGTTATCCCGCTTATTATGTTCTGAGGTAACGGATTAGAATGGCTCAAATGTCTGTGCTAAAGAAGATTTCTCATGGATTTGGATTGCCAATTGGCAGTCTTTTAAAATGGCTTCATTCGTATAAAGCTATGATGTGATTCCTTACTTTAAAATGTGCTTATGCTACATATCAGTTTGCATAAAACACGTGGAAATATAACCAAACATGGTTCAGATGAATAATGAATCAGTTGAATGATTATTTCATTTCAACATCATCCGTATCATGACCACTGCAGAATACTCTTTTTTTTTTTTATACTCTGTAAATTAGGTTCTACCTAACTTACACTCTTGAGGACTACATTTCAGCATAATTTGGACGCCTGCTCGCGGTAGCACAGGACGTAAGAACATATAATGAAGAGGAATCTCATTACCCAGCTATGCTGAGCGTGACGGCTCATATAATCAATACACTGTTTGGCATTTGTTATGACAGTATGTCGGTCCTGACTCACAGGATTCTGTTATGCTGAGTTTATATGTAACTTCATGCCACCTGTGCAAAGTCAATAGACACACAGTGGGGTCCAAAAGTATGAGACCACTTGCAAATCTGAGATGATTTTCAATTAAACTTCTAATGGATTTAAACCAAAAAAAATTTTATGATAATAAATTTAGATTCTGAAGTAAATTTGTACAGATCTTTGTACAGATGGTTGGCATACTGTGCAGTTCATGCAGCTTGAGTGCTAATGTCATTAAGGCAAAAACAGAAGACTTCCTAATAAAAGATTTCTCACTTACATAAATGGTTTGCATTAGGGTGTAACGATATTCAAGCTGAATCAAAAAAACGCGATACACCCACGGTGGCCTGGCCCTTTGTTGAGGTTGACCTCACTTTACCTTACTGTACCTTACAGCTTGACATTTGATTAAATAGTATGGGTAGTAACGGTACATGAATTCGATCTGCGAAGTTTACATGCGTGTCCAACACTATCTCAAGACCAATTCGTACGAATTCGACGCATGATTAAAAAGTGGCTAATTCGTACGACCTTACTCGTACTAATTCGTACGATTTGTCTAAACCCATGTGATGGTTAGGTTTAGGGGCGGGGTAAGGGGTAGGTCATTCGTACGAATTCATATGAATTGGCCAATCCGTAAAATATGTACGATTTAGCAAAATCGTATTAATTCGTACGAGTGAGGTCGTATGAATTGTTACGAATTAGCCACTTTTTAATCATTCGTCGAATTCGTACGACTTGGTCGTGAGATCGGGTTGGCGTGTCTTGTAGTCTACCACCATTGACAATCGCAATAAGCTCCGTGTTTGGTTATTTTCGATGAGAAACAAAGGGTAATTTTTCAGTTTCTGTCCAATTTATCACAAAAAAATGTTTTTTGATCCTTAAGTGCCGGCCTCGTCGACACGACCGCCATCGGCACTGATCCTCAACATCTTGTCTCCAAACCGGCGACTTCCAAACAGATAAAAATGGACAAATACTCGTAATGTGTCGATCCAATTTGTTCTTGTAATGCTACCCGAATCACACTGTTCCTTCGTTGGCCAGAGGACTGGCCCCCGACTGAGCCTGGGTTCTCCCAAGGTTTTTTTCTCTATTCAATCACCTGATGGAGTTTTGGTTCCTTGCCACTGTTGCCTTGGCTTTTGGCTTGCTTAGTTGGGGACATTTAATTTTCAACATTATTATTGATCTGTGTTGTATTATTTTCATGAATGAACATCTGAAGGTATGCTGAAAGACATCAGTAAACTCTTGTTAACAATGCAATACCTCAGGCAAGTCAGTCGGTGTCCACAGCTTGTTAGTTCAACAGCGAAATGTTTATTGAAATATATGCACTAGCCTGTATATTTATGATATTTGACCAATTCGTATGAATTCTCATGAGGGATTAAAAGGTGGCTATTCGTACAAATTCGCACGATTTGTCCAAACCCACGTGATGGTTAGGTTTAGGGGCGGGGTCAGGTCAGGTGTAGGTCATTCATATGAATTGGGCAACTCGTAAAATGTGTACGATTTAGCAAAAATCGTTCTAATTCATGCGAGTGAGGTCGTATGAATTTGTAAGAATTAGCCACCTCGTAAAATTCGTACGAATTGCCTTGTGATCGGATTGTATTTTACTTAACCTGTCTAGTGATCTGTCATGAAATTAACAGCCACTGTGTAAATGATTAGCTATATTTTATCAACGAATTGGAGTAAAAACTGAATTGTATAATTAGATTTAGAAGTTAAAATGACTATGCGCAGTTTACTGGTTTGCATTCAATTTGATATTTGAGTGTTGATTTATTATAAATAGCAACTTAATAGTTTGGGCTATGTTAGTAATGTGCAGGTAAGCAAGGGCTCCTTATATAGTTTACAGCATTAGCAAATTTTTTTTTTTTTTTATCCCACCTGTGGGCCCAAATTATCCGATACTATAAACTAATTTTGACAAACTATATATCATTTGAAAGCTTACAATCTCTAGTTTTCATATTTGCTGATTGATTGACCGAGGAGCCGTAATTTTTGCAACAAGAATATTTTCATACTCTAAGGCGTGTTTAGACCTTT